ACAGTAATTAATTGAATATAAATAGTAGTGATCATAAGTATCTAACTGCCTAAGATCATCTAAAATTATTATATAACTACCTTTTAAATTTTTTAGAAATATAATGTAATACTATACATGATCCCTGTAAATTTATAAATATCAATGATACAAAAAAAAATTTAGATGATCATCAAACTTTCGCTTGAAAAATGGAGTTTTTTTTTAGAAAAATAATATGAAATTGTCTTTTTATGTGAACATTCAGCTGATCTAAAGTTTAGTTTTAGATTTATTGCTAAACAGGTATGCTGTAGTAAGTCTACAGTTATTTATTGAGTTAAAAGATGTCATGAAAATTGGGACTTAAGTACTTCAAAAAGACTGGAATAATCTTATGTAATAACCGCGAAATAAGATGACAAGATTGTAAAGATGGCAGAGAAAGAACATAATATAACAACCATTTAAATATAAGAAAAAATAAAAGAAAGAGGTATTGGGCTTAGTGTAGAAATAGTAAGGTAATATCTTTATAAATCTAGAGAAAAGTTTAATAATGAAATTTCTAAACCTTTGCTTAAAAAAAACCATTGAAAGAAAAGGTTGCAATAGATAAAAAATATAAGAATTTTAATTGAAATCGAGTTTTTTTTTACAGATGAAAATACATTTCAATTATATGCATCAAAAAAAAGGTTTGGCAGTTTCCTAGTAGAATAAAAGTGTTTTGTTTTATTAAACATCCACTAAAAATTCATGTTTAGGAATATTTTTCTGCTTTTAGATTTGATAAGTTATTTTGCTTTTAGAGAAACTTTAATGCTGAATTTATATGTACTATTTATAAGCAGGGTCTTCTGACTTTCACCTCTAAACTTTTTGGTAAAGGTAATATAGATTGGATCTTGTAAGAAGATAATGATTCAAAGTATCAATCAAAAATCACGAAAAAATGAAAGAAAGAAAATGGCATTAAGGTACTTTCTTAGTTATTATTACACGAAAGAAGACATGGATGATGATGATCTAAAGGATGATGTCGATCCTTAAGAAATCATATATGTCTTCTATATTATCTATATCATCTATAGCATATATTTCTTTTATACAATATATTTTTTTTATTTATTTTATCTTACTTATCTTATATATTTATTATATATTATTTATTTCATATATTTTATTTATTATATTTATTTCTTTTATATCTTTGATAATTTTATATTTTCATTTTATATAAATAGAGGACAATTTCTTTTAGTTTAACAGTGTGTTTGACATATAATTTTATATAATAGTTTAGTTTAATCCCTCTAATATAATTGTATAGTACAAAGCGTTGACTGAAGCAGTACTCTATTGTTATAGTTATTAAATAAACTGTTAATTTACCGCACTCTTCTAAATCTAAATATCAAATTAAACCTTCTACTTACCACCCATAAATATTGCTTCACTTATCATTCATAAGCATCTTAAAGAACTGACCATAACAATATTTTAACCAAAAAGTGCTATATATAAGTTTTATAGCTAATTAAATAATCATTTATTTACATATTTTTTAAAATTAAGATTCAGTTGAAGATGCTTCATTTCAATTTCTTCTCATAATATATATTGTTTATATTACTAGATGTAAAATTTCCTTCAATTAATAGATTGAATAATTTCTTTCTTCTTATATATTCATTTAAAATAGTATTTTTAATAATACATCTCTTTAAGTGGTTATCTTGATAGAGAAAGAGGTTTATATTACTTTTAGGAATGATACTAAGAAATTATATATAATGTAATATATAATTTATTTTTGATTCATCACCTTTTTAATCTGCAGGAGATCTAGTTCTAAAAGGATTTCTTTAAGGTGATAATATATGCTGATTGCTTATTCTGATAAAATTGGTCTCTTTTAGAACTATTCTTTTTTAAATATTTATAAGAAAAAAACTTTATAAAATTTTTATACATAAAATAAAAAACTTAATATTAAAGTTAAATGAAATATCTACTTCAATTATAATATTTATACCAAATGGTATTACAAATATAAGAAATTTTTTAGTAATTACTAATAATAATAATTTACTTCAGTCATTTTATTTAATATTCAGAAGAGTTAAATAGATATTTAGTAATATTATTAGAAAATTAAATTGATTCTTTATAATCATAGTAATTATAACAATAAAGTTTCTAATTTTATAAGAAATTATTTATATATTTATACTATAAGTATAATTTTAGAATAAATATTTTTAATTGCTAGATTAGTTATTTTATAATTAAAAAATAAATTAAAAATAGAAATAGATAATATTATATAAAAAGTTTAATTTTATATAAAATTAATATATATAGATAATATAAAAATATAATATTAGTAAAAAAGAAAGAAATACATTTTTTAATATTAAATGATTTATATAGTAAATATTTTTTATATTTATATTTATTTATAATAAAAATAATTTATTTTAGTTTTTATATAAATTAAACTTTAATACTATATATACTAAAGATCAATACTTAGATTAGTCTTATAAATTAGTCTAGATTAAAAGAAAATATATTGTAAACTGGATTGGACTAGTAAGATCTAATATAAAATTAAAATTAAAATTAATTTATAAACTAATCCTAGTATTAGCTTATAAATTAGTTTAATTCTAAAAAAGATAAAAAACCAGTTTTTTAAAATAGATTGAATCAAACTAAATCAATATATTTTTAAAGAAAATATATCATTTCAAATATTATTATCTTATGATATTTCAGATATTAAAAAGTTTATTTCAAGTTGTTATATTATAATAATATTTAAAAAACTTATGAATATGCTTAATAAAATTTAAAAATTAATTATTAATTATTTTTCTAATATAAAGTATAGTAATATTAGTTCAATTTATATAAGATAATGATTTTTTAAAATTTATATAATAATAAAGCAGAATAGGTAATTTGTTATTCTAAATAAGATTTTAACAAATTTTATAGTAAATTTAATAAAAGATTATTGTAAAAGTTTAAAAATTTAAAGAAATACAAATAAGAAAAAGACAAATGATTATGTCAATAAACTTAAATTCAAAGAATTTATATCTTTAGAAATTGCTGAATAAATATTTAAATCAAAAAATATGAAGTAATAGAACAACTTGAATTAATGATTAAAGAAGCATTTAAGATATATTATATTTCTTATAATACTAAGGCCATTAAAGAACTTGATAATAATATAGTAAATTATATAATATTAAGTAGATTTGAAAAAATATGACTTCAAAACTTTTGTTAGTAGAATAGAGTAGATTATTTCTTTAAACTATTTAAAATTTTTAAACTTATATAATAATATTATTTTATATTTTAAAAATTACATTTATTATTCTTTTCAAAATTACATTTATTTATTTTATTTTACTTATTATTTGTAAATTCTGCACATAATATAATATAATTTTAAAAATACATTTTATAAGTTCATTTTATTTATTCTTTTATTATATAATTTTTATATTAATATATCCTTTATAATAATTATAATAATAAATTGATTTTTTTACAAACATTCACTAGAGTCATAAGTCTGAAGAAAACATGCAGCAGAGAAATGCATGATAAAATATACTATAAATATGCATCACTGTATTAATTATCTATTATATAATATATATGACAAAATCCGATATTAAGCAATAATTTTTGTGTTTAGAAAACAAAGATAAAGCAAGTAATTTTAAAAGATTTAAAAATAATTATGAAATAGAAATAGTATCAATAATGTTAAAGCAATATCATTGATCTACTTGAGATCTCAGAAAGTGAAGATGATAAAGGTAATTATATACTTTATCTCTATGTCTCTTTGCTTGTTAATATTAATAAATATTAATATTTAATGATATAAATTAAATAATAGTTAAAGATTCAAATAAGGATGATAATGAAGACAAGAAATCAAATTAAAAATTACATAATATAAAATATGAAACTTAGCTGAATAAATTAATATAATTATGCTATAGATGATATAGATGACATAGAAGACATATATGATTTCTTAAGGATCAACATCATCCTTTAGATCATCATCATTCATATCTTCTTTCGTAACATCACTCCTCTTTAAGATTTTGCATCCCCGCATAAATCTCAGTGGCCTTATCAATTAGATTATTATATTTCACAGTTGATAATCCAATTATCAATTTAAGGGTGGTCCTTTTACTTCGTACAATCTGTGCTAGTTTAAGAAATTCAAAGAGATAATATATTTGTATTGATGTACGATAGTAATATTTGAATAGCCTTTTGACATATACTAAACGAACTGTAGGATCTTCTATTTCTTCTATAAGCTTTTCAAGATAAAAGGCATTTATCAACATCAGAACATGATTGTTCATTCGTTTAGTCCTTTGTAGTATTCGATTTGCAAAAGAGAACTTTATTTTCATAAGCATAGTTTCGCTATAAGGTGAAGAATACATCTCAATTTTTTGGGGTATGGTGCAAGTTGGCATAAATTAATTGAAAATTCTGGAAAATGTTTCAGTATAAGTAAGAGGTACTTCCAACTCTTTCATCTTATTAATCTATCAATTTTAAGTTAGGCTCCCTCCTATTTAAATATTTTTCAATTATAATGTTCTAGCATTTTTCATAAATTTCTTCAATTTTCAATCAGCACAATAGGCTAAGATAGATCACGTTGGTATTACTATTTTAATCTATCACCATTTATAAGTATTTTTAGGATTTCCTGTCCAACGTTCTCAATTTGTATACTCCATTCCCAAGATTAGCATGAATGTAATACGGTTCCTTTCATCTTTTTTCAAGCTTCTTTTTATCTTATAAATTACTTTTATACATTAGAACTAACTCTCCAACTTTAAAATTAACACTTCCTTTCAATTTGTGATCATGTTGCTCCTTTTGTTTCTTTTGAAAGTTTGAATATTATTTTATGCTTGTTATATTTTATTATCTATCCTTCCAGTTATTTGTCATATACAATTAATTAAATCTTCTTGTTCATCTAATGTTACATTTTGCATATCTGACATTTGTACTTGGAATTCGATCAGCAATGTAGCATTTCTCTTATAGGTTAAGTAAAAAGGTTCATGTTGTGTGATGCTATGCCTTTTGTTCGATATACAAATAAGGTGGATGGTAGAAAATCATCCCAATCATTTTTATTTTCATTTGCGAATTTTGCTAGTGTTTCACACAAA